CCAAAATCTCTGTAAATGTTTATGAAAATTAATAAAATATAGAAAAAAAAAAAAGGAGCACTCCCTTAAGAATAGGAGCTTTGGTGGTGTGGTCTTTAGCAAATTTAGCTGCCAACCCAAGGGCTGCACTTTTTCGGCAGTTCGACTCCACTCTGGCTCTGCATGAGAAAGGTGTACGTTCTCCTTATATGTTTACACCTTTCGGAGCCCAATAAATTCAAGGATATTGTGAGTTTTCTGGGATGTCTAGGTTAGCGCTGGTACCAAGCATATGGACGCTAAGGAAGGGAGATGAACTCGCTGGCACACGTCAACCAAAATGTCGGTTAATGAGAACCGAAGCACAAACGAATTTGTAAACCAATATTCATTCATAATAGCATTATTCACCACTGCAAGAACATGAAAACAGCCCAAATGCCCAACCACAATTGAATGTATTGATAAATTATGGTACATTTACGCGATGGAATACTACGCAGCACGCAGGAGCAATGGTTTTGTAAATCAATACCTAACTTGGGAGAGACTGGAAAGCATTATGCTAAGTAAATTAACTCAGTCCCATAAGGACAAATACTGTATAAGACCATCAGTATAGACCGTGTACGAAGATCCAGGGGGGGAGATCCAGGGAGGAAGGGGGATCAGAAGAGGGAGAAGGGGCAGGAGGTGGGGTGGTTAACCATGTTGTTTTGTGCCATTGACTCACAGGGTTTTTGCGTCTATGTTCATGAGAGATAATGGTCTGTAGTTTTCTTTTCTGATAATATCTTAGCCTGGTTTTGGTATTAGGGTTATGCTTGCTGCATAGAATGTCTCTGGGAGTGTTCCTTCTTTTTCTATTTTTAAAAATAATTTAAGTAGAATTGGTGATAAACCTTTTCTAAATGTTTGGAAGCCATCTGGTCCAAGACTTTTTTATGAAGGAGTCTTTTTATGACCTGCTCAATTTCTTGTCAGTCTAGGTAGGGCATGAGTTTCAAGGATTTGTCCATTTCCTCTAGGTTTTCAAATTTATCGGAGTGTACCTTTTCATAATTTTCTGGTAGTGTTGATTTCATTTCCTCTGGTTCTGTTATGTCACCTCTGTCATTCTTTAATTGAGTTATTGGATCTTCTTCTGTTTTTCTTTTGTTAAGTTTGCCAGTACTTTGTCAATTTTATTGACCATCTAAAAAAATCTGCTCCTGGTCTTATTGGTGGTTTCTGTTGTTTTTCTGTTTTCTATCTCATTGATTTCAGCTCTTTGTTCTTATAATTTCATTTCTTCCAGAGGTTGTGGGATTAGATTGCTGTTATTCTTCTGTTTGATGAAGGTGTTGAGTTAGATCATTAATTTTCCTTCTTTGTTTTTTATAACAACAAACAACAACATTGCCTATGGTGATGAAGGAAGAAGCTCAGGCTGCTTTGAAGGAAATAGCAAAAAATAAGGCCCCAGGAATAGAGGGTATACTAATTGACATATTTCAGCTAACAAATGCTGCCCTGGATGTGCTCACCAAGTTGTGCCAAGAAATCTGGAGAACAACCACTTGGCCAACTGACTGGAAGAGATCTATATTTGTTCCCATT